TAGCTAAACTGATAACAGAGAGGATCGGATACCACCATGCAATTTATGAAATCAAATAAGCTGTGAATCTAGAGCAAGATATGGATCCAGCACCAGTTTATGCAGATCTAAAGGTGCCACCTCCTGGTTGTTTGTGGAAACTACATAAAAAAACTAGGTAAGCTTTATCTGACCGTTTTAACAATGAGGTCCTGTTATATACTCTCAAAACGACATTTATTAAGATATTTGCTTGACAACAGCTGATTGTCCAATTAGTATCTTGTGAATGGTCTGGCTAGAGAGACCAATTCTAGGTTACTTTAATGCTTGCAGGTCTTCTGAAGAAGATCATATTCACATAACTAAAAAAGAAGAAAACATTTCTTCAAACTCCAGGTAAGAAAGCACAGAGTAAATGAACAGCGTTTTAACTTTGAAACTCTGGCCTGCTTGCTTTCTTGTTTGCGTTCGTTTCTTTTTATTTACTCTGCAGCAGATACCAAACGCTCAGTGCAAATGAACTGTGACAAAGGCAATGATTTCCGGATGCTCTGCGAGTTCTCAACAGCGTTGACACCGCAGGGCTTTATTTTCACCCGCCTTCGCCTGATCTAAACAGACTATTAGTTTCTTTCTTCACAGGTTCCTTTGCCAGGACAGCACAACAAGCCATTCTGGAGGCACCGTTGCAGACCAGCCTCTCCTGCATCCTTTGGAAAGCAAGCAGGGTGCACTTTTGTAGGCTAGCTTGGACAATGAATCAGTTTAAATGATGACAAATGACACCAGTTAAAGCAGCACATCTGTCCGTAGCTATTGCATCAAGTGTGTTTCAGGGTCTTAAAGCTCTAGATTTTGCAGAAAGGTTCATCTCTAGCAACACGATTGCACTTCCCCAAGCTAAGACTTTAGAAAGGGAGAGCAAAATATTGCCACTGACTGTAAAAAAAAAAAATTGTTTGAAAGAACTTTGAAAGAAACTAAGTTTTGTGCTGCCTTAAAATTTTGAGTTTAGTCACTTGAAATGTGAATTTCTACTTAGCGACAACTTGGATATTTGAGTTGACTAGACTAACATTTTAAGGCAGCACAAACACTTACTTTTTTAAGTTGAAACAACTTTTTTTTACATTGTGGTTGTCTCTGGTTGCTGTATGTGCTATATTCTTGGTTTAAATGAAAAAAGTAAGTTACCTAGCTGCCTTAAAATTTGAATTAATACAATGGAGATTGATTTAATAAATAAAACTCAAAGTTATGTTATCTGAAGCACGTTAATTAAGTTGATTTGACAAAAGATAAAAAGTTGCGATAACGAATCATGAACTACTTAGAGACTTGGATGAATTTTTAATGGTCTTTTCTGATTCACTTGTTTATGACAATACTTGACACTGAAAACCAAAGTCGGCATTCGCAAGTAAGTGTGCATGCATGAAGCCCGTGTGACTTTGCATTTGCAATTGAATCTGGATTGTTTATCCAGACAGGTAGAAACCTCTCTGAGCCAAACAGGCCCCTCGGAGATTTCCCGTGGGCTTTTAGAAGCATCCCTATTCCACCTCATAATGACAAATGCTGCAGGCTAATAGAGTTGATGGGAGAAACTAATCTAGGTGCTAACGCAGAGTGCAGGGGAGCATAGTTCCACTTCAGCAAAGGGGCTTAAAGGATTGAATTTACATTACAAAGAGATATCAAGTCTAATGTTAATAAACCTCGGTAAGCCGTACAAATACCTACATTGTGCTGCAACTAAAAATAATGCTGAGGAAACGCAGCCAAGAGTTGGGGTCAGGTCCCTGAGGCTGTCTCAGTGGAAAGCTCTTCTCAGAAATCAATACCACTGGAAATTGTCCACAGGGGTTTCCAAGGGTACCAAGTATCCAAACTTCAACTTTCCATCGAATGCTGGAGCATTTCTGTAGGAACAAGTGGCATCCCTGTGGATGAGTGGATGGGACTAGATGACTAAAAGCTTCCAGTGAGGTTAATGTGTTCCATCTTGAGAAGCTGAAGTGTACAACAAACAAATGCACAAAAACGTCTTTATTGGAAATGCTGCGAGTGCTTTAGTTGATTCAATCCTTCCGTAAAATCTGCAGCGCTAAGCGCATTTTCCAGAAAACCCTCATTCTCTTTAATCATGTATGATTTTGGAGATTCCAGGTTTCTAAGAACATATTGCTGATGGAGGCAAGCTGCCATGGATGTCGCATAGATTTGAAGGTGTCCCCTTACATGACAGCGTTGTTTAAAATGGACAGCATTGATATTATTAGCTTTCTAACCACTGACCTGGAGTTCAGAAACAAGATTTCTATTACAGGAAATATATAGGGTGCAAAGAGTGGTTAACGGTGCAATATGGGGCGGCAGTGGCTCAGCAGGTTATGTAGGTTGTCTACAAACCGGAAGGTTGGTGGTTTAATCCCCGGTTCCACCTTACCAAGTGTCGAGGTGTCCATGAGCAAGACACCTAACCCCAGCTGCTCCCGACGAGCTGTATGGCGCCTTGTATGGCTGACACTGCCGTCAGTGTATGAGTGGGTGAATGTGAGGCAAAAATGTAAAGCGCTTTGGTGGCCATTAGGTCCATGAAATCGCTATATAAATGCAGTCCATTTATGTAAGAAATTTGTAATAAAATATTGTGACGGGTCTCTGGTTGTTCCCGCTGTTGTCGACCGGTGGGCGTGGCTGGGAGACTCTTCAAGAGAATGATGTACACCTAGGATCAGCGAGTGATTGGCTTTGATAATGTAGAGCGGAACCTTCGAGATCTTCAGAGCTGTACGACTCTTGTGAGAGTTGAAGCTCATACCTTTTTGTGTTGGGTTTGTTTTGTTTTTCTTTGCTATGATTTGATCTTAGTTCTGTCTGACATCTTAACATCGCCAACTTCACTATGTTCTACAATCAAGTGATCAATATCCAAAAATCACGTGCACAGTGTGACATATTTCCTGCAGTTGTGTGTACTTACAATATCCCAAAGGTCTACAAAGATTTTTTTTTTTATTTCAGAGAAATTCCAGTTCCAATCAGTGCAAATGAAATGTCGACTGTCAATGACACAATATCCGCGCTATCCTCGGCTTCCGTTCATACTGCTATAGCCATGCGCCCTCTTGTGGCGAAAAAAAATCGTACTTATTGAAATTACATTTTGTTTTTATAGAGAGTTTTGCTTACTGTCGACACATAAAAAGCAGTCAAAAAATCCTTAATTGTAAGTTGAACAACCGTAAAAAATAATTACAGTCATGCAGATGCTATTTACAGCACATGCTGTTGCTTGGTGGTTGGTTACGACAAGTAAAAATATGTGCGCTGACTAATCATACAATCGACAAATAAAAGGTGTCAACCCTTGCAAAAAAGAAGTTGATTCAAGTGTAGGCCTACTAGCAGGCTAATATGTAGGCTACGCCTACTTCTTTTAAACTAAAAAATATGAAAGTATCAGCTACTTTCAGTAGGCTACTATGTATGCAGCCTTCTTCTCAGAAATATAGGCTAGCTAGAAATAGTTCACCTCAAAATGAAAATGTCATGATAATTTACTCACCCAAATGTCATCCAAGATGTTCATGTCTTCCGTTCTTCAGTGGAAAATACATTTTTCTCCACACAATGGACTTCATGTGCAACCAAAATGTCCAAATCAATGCAGTTTCAAAGGGCTCTGAAGAGCTTCAAACGGCTCTGCAGTGCACGTTCCCAGCTGATGAATGGGCTCTATGCACGGCGGTATTTCCGGTGAAGCATTAGGGATGCTCGATAACTTCCGCCGATCGTAGAGTCCAATGCAATACCGAGAATTTATATTGAATTTTATACATGGTTATACTAAAGAAACGTTAGTCACAAAAACAGATAAAACAGACACCCCTCGTTGTGTTTATGCTTCTTTTTAAAATTATATTAAATAAATATAACTATATATAATATTACATCTTAGTATGTACGTTTCATTTCAAAGACTGGAGGACAGTAAATTTTGAAGACTCTGCCATAATCCCGTTTTCCTCGGTTTTCCTCCGCTTTAATCTCCACAACCGGAAATGGACGAGCATCCTTGCATCAAATGCGGAATTTATGCGTGCATATAGCCCATAGGGTCTTATCTAGCGAAACCATCCGTCATTTAAAAAAAAAAATAAATAAACATTTATAATTATATAATTTTTAACCACAATTGTTGGTCTGTTTTTTTTTTTTTTTTTTTTAATTGTTGATCCTGTGCTTGTCTGCAACGCGCCAAGAATTGAAAACCTCATGCGTCACGTCATCTATTTGTCTGTGTAGCCTACTCCAGTTCAAAAAGGCAGGGAAGGGCAAAAAATTATCCTCCAAGTTCAAAATGGTCTGACAACTTTATTTTAATTGATTATTATTAATAATAATTTTTCAAAAATCGTGACGTAATGACGTCAGTATAACGTTATGATGAAGTCGGAGTCACCAACCAGCACAATTTTTTTATTTGAATACTCCTACTCCCCTACCTTTTGTTCAATTGTTTTTTTTAATTTTTTTATTTGTATAATTTTATTATTGATTAAAATAAAAAAAGAAGAACAATTGTGGCTAGAAAGTATACATGTTTATTTTATTTTTTTTAAATGACCGATCGTTTCGCTAGACAAGACCCTATTCCTCAGCTGGGAACGTGCAAAGCCGTTTAAAAGCTCTTCAAAACCCTTTGAAACTGCATTGATTTTGGCTTTATGCACAGCTGCACTACTTCCTGAACTTCAGCCAGTTCCGTTGTTTCCTGTCTGCCATTTTTGGACAAACTGATTAATCCAGGTGTGCCTGACCTCAGTAGTCACAACAACAATAATCAGACACACCTGGATTAATCAGTTTGTCCAATTATGGCAGACAGGAAACAAAGGAGCTGGCTGAAGTTCAGGAAATAGTGCAGCTGTGCATAAAGCCAATTGAAGTCCTTTGTGTGGAGAAAAATCCTGAAATGAAAGCAAGACGTTATGAGCAGACTAATTTTCCTGTAAAATCAAAGCATTTATTATATTACAATCAGTTACAAGCTTACACGTTACTTTTATATTGATAACAAACGTGAAGAACACTGGTATAACACACAGAAAGTTTATATGAGTTTAAAGCTAAAATATTTGCGAGAAAAGGCCCAATGCAACTTATGACCAGCTAATGTTTTGGAGAGATTTTTTTTCTTTGTCGCTTTGATCCAATGCAACCCAAGAAAAATACACAAAACCAGTTCAGAGACAGCCAACTCATGATTATAAATTCAGGTGAAGTGGTTACGCTTATTGCAATCAAATAGCTACATACTTATGATATATCACAAGGAATGAAACACAAAATCAAGAATAATATTTTATTTTCATACCAGAGTGAGTCAGTTGAGTTTAATGAACTGTCATTTATCATCAGAGTATGCACCGAAAAAGATAAATAGATTGTATTTGTAATTCCTATGATAAATCTTGTGAACACAGATTTTATTATTTTTTTTTTTTATCTCAATAGTGTCAATACTACTGTATAAGTTCAGCTGTGTATATTGGGTCAGTGAAGATACAGGAGTTATGTTTTGCTCTCTCAGAGAGATGGATTTAAATTTCCAAAAGATGGCAAATCATTGTGTGGCAGCCTCCTCCATTAAATATTTATAAAATATTTTAGTGCTTTTGGGGGGAGGGGGTGTATTAGATTTCTGCATGGCTCATTCCACACACGAACTAACAAGGACAATGTAAGAAAATAATGGCAAAAACATCCCAGTGCAGCAAGGACAATGCTTTTTGAGGATCTAAATGCTAAGAAGTGCTCCAAACCAAAGACTGTAGATCACTCTACACACAATGAGGAAATGGAGCAAGTGAAATATTTTAGTTTTCTGAAAGAGTAAGAAAGAGGCAGTGGGATTGTCAGTAGCAGCAGGATTCTGTACAACCAACCGGACTCATTTCTTTAGCTAAATCAGCTTTGGTTCTCACATTTTCAGCTTGGAGATTACGGGTTAAAATGCTATCAGCAACTTCATTTTACTTGCTGCCACACAACCTGGAGTTTGGTCTGTTTATCCAAAAAGTAACTTGCTTCATAACAAATGTTATCATGCTGTATATTTCTGGAGCCTGAGAAATCTGTTACAAGATGCTAGTTATTTTCTGCATCAGTAAGCAACTGTCACTGATTCAAGGTAAAAAAAAAAACAAGCTGTTTTGGCCATGCTAGAAAGGTCAACGTTATATTGGCAGTCCAATAGAGATGAATGGAGTAAAGAGTCAACTAATGACATTCTCCTCCTCGACCAAACTATGTGGTGGCGATGAACGACTGGGGCTTGATCTTGTTCTTAAATTAATCGAACCGTAGAGCTTTGCAGAGTGCTTGGAATAAGCAAAGGCTTTCCTTCTGTACATCTCACCCTTCCATATGGAAATCATTAGCAGAGTGGACAGCACCACTCCACCTAAAGTGAGAAGGCAAAGGCCTGCGATGACACACCTGTCCAGGTGCGCCCCTATCCTGGCGCTTTCGTTCTCCAGTCTTTCCATTTCGCGTGCGGAGACGTTGTCGGGGTTCACTCTGACCTCACGAGGGACCGTGTACGATATGATCACCAGCGAGATCCCGGTGATGAGGAACGTGACTGCGCTGATGAACCCGTAATCCATGGATTTCCCCGAACTCTCTGAGCTGAGATCGAAGTCAGACATCAGCGACAACTCCTGGAGGCCCTCGGGACGGATTTCACTGGAGGAGTCATGGAGCGAAGACGCACGCCGAGCACTTTTCTCGCTCGTGTCCGGGGTGGCCAACCGGAGATTGACGTTTTCATCAATGTAGGTGAACGAGGTCTCCAGCTCCTCGTCGCAGCACACCCTGACCTTCTCTGCGGGATGATGGCGGTGCTGGCCATGTTGTCCTCTGAGAGGAGCCGTCCTTGGTGCTGAATTACACTGTCCCTCATAGGCAGGCACCTTCACAGTGGGAGACGCTTCTTCCACCGAGCTGTTTAGCCTGTGAACATGAAGAGGGCTTGATGACCAATCCAGGACCCCAGGGGGATCGGGCCTCGCCCGTCTATTATCTATGTACAGTAACTCCACCGAGGCCATCAGATACACTCCCACAGATCACCCTGATTTCCTGCTGCATCAAGCCATCCACACTATACCTGTAAATGCAAATTACAATAATTCAGATGAGAAATCAATTCACACAATAAATCCAAGTGAGCTTGAGCTTACATTTAAATGGCTGATAGCAAATATGAAGAGCAAATTTTAATATTGTGCATGGTTATGTTTTTTACCTTTGTTGCATGGTCAATTCATATTTACTACTCTTGATAAACTGTATAACTATCATCACATGTGACAAGCATTTTTGTAACACACCTTACTTATGCTCACAACTGTGACTCATGGGTGACCTATTTATGTAGCCTACACTACAATGGCTATAGCTACAGTTAATAACTGTTTTTGAACGAAATCCCTCGTCTCTTTAAAGAAAGACGATTAAAGTTACCGATTAGTCCTACTGCTTCAATATCCAATTAGCAAAGCAATCCGTATAAAACCCAAGATAAGCTATAAGTCCCTTTTAAACGCACGACTTAACCGACGATGGGGATATAGGCACTTCACAAAAGAGATCGATATCGTGATCTTTGTCTTTTTTTACGCCGATATCAGAACAGATACTTTTACATGTAGCCTAAATGTTTGAATAACCAACATTTATAATATTTTTATTTTTTCATTTAATTTATGCAAATTTGTTTTGAAATCTATCGAAATAAATTTTCATCTTTAGAATTATTATTAAAGAAAAAAACCCAATAAACTGTAAAAGTGCGAATATCAGCTATACAAATGCATCAAACTGAATATTGGGCAATGCTAATCGAAATAAAGTCATCAACAAATCATCACATCTGGAGTAGCGAAAACGTTTCACTGTTTACGAAATAAACATCGATTTAAAACGGACATGCAGTAGTTTTGGCACGTGTCCATCAGGCTGCATCACACTCATCAATAGGTCATACAAAGCGACACAAACAGGACACACTTCGCATCTCGCTATATTTAACGTTAGACACAAATCACACATTGTTTGTTTGCTATAATCAATTGTTGTTTGTACCTTCTCGTCTGATGAACATTTTGGCCTCCCGGCTTCTGCTCTCCGCCGTTCTCCCTCCCACGCTCCGATTTAAAGATGAACTGAGCTCTTCATAGCGAAATGACTAATTCTACTATGGCAAAGGACATCAGGTAGAGTGACGTTTCTCGGTAATCTTCCAATTGGGAAGAGTTTGAGTATGAATATGAATAAGACTGTGCCGACGTCCCTTACCGTCTAATAGCGAATGCTTGGCTGTTGAATTTCAATTAGGTGCTGCAGACGTTCCTTGCTAACTTTCCAATGGCGAAGCAAACCGGTTATGAATATTAACAACCAAGTCTTCGCCATAGTAAGATTCGTACATTTTCTTCCGGTCGCTAACGTTACGCCTCGCAGTTTCGCATCACTCTTGCGGTGTCAAGTAAATCATAACAGGTTTAAAATTGTATCGGAACCATGGGAAATCAGGTTCTCGGAGGCGAAAAGTAATCATCACCAGTGTGATGGAAACGTTACACCCTGGAGACATTTTCTACTACGACCAGTAAGAGTCAGAGACTGTGCTAAACCACACCTATTCTACACCATCTGCTCTGTGGTCCTTTAGGAGCTTGAAAGATTACTGGTCAGTTTCAGCAAGATTTATGTAATCTATTTTTAATCTATAGTCTGCCCCATATCAGCTCATATTCTTCTAAATGAAACAATACCTTTACATAATTTGTAAACATCATGTTGAAATATAGCTATTTCAAACATTCTCGGCGTAGTCAGAACCCCTAATCCGTAGTTCTCCCCTTGACAAAAAAAACAATAAATTTTATTTCAACAGATCCTATATGCTATTGTGTTCACCAATGCAAAGGATGACTTCGAATCAAGGCCAGGCAAGTTCCTATTTAACAGATGAGTCTGCAGAGAAGTGGGGCTTACTCAGCCAGAGATTAATGTCCCAGGCGGAGGCTCAGCTCAGAGAGTAGGTGCACAGTCATGAATTCCCATCTGTCACTGCTGGCGTTATGAACATAGGTGGAGTAGCTGCATGTTCCAGTCAGTTTGGACTATTTTCAACAGGACGGAAGTCTCATAAGGGTGCACAGCTTCATTTCGCTGCACACCCCTCTGAGATTTCCATCCCGTCAGCAGCCGGCTGAGCAAATCTGGCATGCATTGCCAAGGACAAAATTGAGTTTCAGAGCCTTGGGTATCAGAAGCACGCTGTGGCTCGTCAGTCTATCCTCATGTTGTTTGGACCAGGCGATTACACAGGCGTAGAGTTGACAGGAAGCCAGCTGCAAAATGAAAGGTTAAAAAGCGCTAAATAAAATAATGATCTTTTATAAACTGAAAAATCAAGCCCGCTCTCATTCTTTGGCGTCATAATAGGTAACGCCATGATATTTCATCAAAATACTACGTACATGGAACCCTTTAGCGTCAATATAACACGCAGAACCCAAGGCGTCATACAGGTGACTGGCATCCTTTAGCGTCAATATGAGACGCAGACTCTACCCCAGACCTAAACCTACCCATAACAGTGTATTGATGCTAATATGCGGAGTATTTCGACGAAATGTCATATGGCGTCACCTATCTGGCGCCAAAGGGAGCCCGTGTTGGAGAATGTGTTGGAAAAATCACATTAGAATTACATTTTAAAGTGGAACAGAACAAACTAGTGTTAAGTTTGGTTCTTTTGGTTCTTAGGAACCTGCAGGCAGTGTGTTTCTCAGAATCAAGAGCGTGAAACCAGGGGAAGGCGCTTGTCTGACAGTCTCTGCCAGTATCGTCAACGCCTTCAGCCTCAAGGAGAAATTAACTTGGAAATTTTGGAATATAAATTTGACCTGTGTACCTGTTGACCTATACAGTCCAGGTGTGCATGTTATGCAAATACAAATCTTTGGATTGATTTTGAAATTTCAGATCAGTTATGACGACACATGCACTCTACAGTTTCTGAGGTTGATAAGATTTTTATCTTAAGTCTCTTGTGCTTAATCAAGAATAAAGAGTAATAATTGTGGGTTATTAGTATTTAAATCAGATCAAAAATACGTGTGAAATATTGTGAAATATTACAATTTAAAAGAACTTTTAAAATGTAATTTAGTCATGGCAAAGCTGATTTTCAGCTTCATTATTCCAGTATTCAGTGCCATGTGATCCTTCAGAAATCATCCTCATATGCTGATTTGATGCTCAAGAAACATTTATTATTATTATCAGTCCTGTTCTACGATGCAATTTTTTTTTGGAAACCATTATTACTTTGATGAATTGAAAGTTCAAATGAACATTTTTCTTTTTTTTTCTTTTTTTTGCAAAA